GAAAGCAGGGACTCAGTGACGTTTCCCAGGAGCAAATAGCAAAAAAAAACATATGCAAAAACCCCAAAAAATCAGTTCAGGATTGAGAGAGGACACGTGTCTTAAGGCTGTGGCTCTGCCACCAGCGTGGCATCCCTGCTTACCTACCAGCAGGCATCTGCACGGCTTCCCAGCCTGGCTGCACGATGCAATGGGGCAGCCCTGGAGCTTTGTAGGGCTGGAGCCCTTCTCCCTTGGACCACAGCTGCAGAAACCTCAGCATGACCCAATCAGGACCGTTTTGCACCCAAATCCCCTTGCAACCTTGAAGGGCTCATCCACTGCAGCGAGAAGCAGACGCTGTGATGGGGCAGCCCAGCTGCAGCCTCTCCGTCTCAGCAGAGCCCAAAATCACCCCGACCACTTCTCCCTTTCCTCTTCCCCGCTAACAAAGCGCGCCTGCGTGGGTAATTAGAGGCTGCAACAGATGGCGGAGGCTTAGTTGAGAGCGACGCGTCCATTAAAAGGCGCTGCCAAGCGACTGCTCGCGTCGGCGGGGCTTGTTTGTGCTAGCAGGGCTTTCGCACGGCGAGGAGGTGTGGGAAGCCAGCCAGGGGCTTTCGGCAAGGAGCCACCGAATTTTGCTTGCCGCTGTGTTTCCCCCTTAGCTGGGGAAGCCCCGCAAGGTGCACACCTGAGTGCTGCGGGAAATCCTTTTTTAGGGATATGAAATTTTTTTTTTTCCTTTTTTTTTTTTTTTTTTGGAAAGCTGGGGGCAGCCAGATGATGTTTTGGCATGGCTATGGCTCTGGGAGGATGCTTGGTGGCTACATCCTAATTTCCGTGGCTGGGCAGCTCCTTTGCAGCCGGCTGGAGCATTTCCACCTCAACTCCATTCCCACATCTCTTCCTCTCCTGTGTTTTTTTTTAAAATACGTATAAAAATCTAGATACCTTATAGATCAAAGCATGCCCTGCACAGGAACACGTTTGCTCAGAGTTTGTGCTTTTGATACTTTTTATTCGCCGCTCTTTTCTACAGCTGGAAGGGGGGTCCGTAGGATCCGAGCCTTTAACGTCGGCGTTTCACGGGCGTTTAATGTCCGCAGTTCGCAGGTTTTTGCTCTCAGCGGTGCCTTTACCTCCTGTGTGCTTCTCCTTTCACGAATGCCATTACTTACCCTCCTGAGGAGCTGTCAGTGCCGGTAAACTCCAGCTGCTAAACCGCATTACACAGCTCACTCCTGAAGCCTTTGCAGTTATTAATAGTTTATTGATCCGCGGCTCATTGCTGCTGAAAAGCAACACCGTTAGCGGGATGCTCCCTCCTGCCGTGGATGGGGTCAGCCAGGGTGGAGGCTGGCAGTGAGTCCCCTCTCTCCTCCCCAGCCTGCCCGAGGTTCGCATTTCGGACAACGGCCCCTACGAGTGTCACGTGGGGATTTATGACCGAGCCACGCGGGAGAAAGTGGTCCTGGCATCTGGTAACATATTCCTCAACGTGATGGGTGAGTGCAGCTCTGCTGCTGCTGCGAGGGTGGTGGGGATGTGATGATGATGGCGAGGATCATAGAAACACAGAATCATTAAGGTTGGAAGCGACCTCCAAGATCATCTGGTCCAACCATCCCCCTACCACCGTATCACCCAGTAAATCACGTCCCTAAACACCACATCCAACCTTTCCTTGAACACCCCCAGAAACGGTGACTCCACCACCTCCCTGGGCAGCCCATTCCATGATGATGCTGTGATGGCGATGACGGTGTGGTGGTGATGACGATGTGGTGGTGGTGATGATAAGTGATTATGATGATGATAAGTGGTGGGCGAGTGAGCACCCAGCTGCCAGGTGAGGATGGAGGGGAACCATTGCAAGGTCTATGACCGCTCCTGAAACCATCACCGAGGCATTTTAGTGATGGAGCAAGGGGCGACCTCCAGCTGACAGCTTCCCAGTTTACAACCCCAGGGATTTTCAGGGGGCTGGGGGGTGATGTTGGGGCTGGGGGGGGCCCTGTGCTCACGCCCCAGCTCTGCATCCCTGACGCAGCTCCACCGACGTCCATCTCGGTGATCGCCGCCGACACGCCAGCGCCCTTCAGCCGCTACCAGGCGCAGAACTTCACCTTGGTGTGTGTGGTGTCTGGCGGCAAGCCCGCCCCGCTGGTGAGCCCATCATCTTTATTTTAAATATTTATCTTTTACATATATATATATAACAGATGTAATAAATCTGGAGGCAAAGCAGGGCACCTACCTGCCTGTTAGCCCCGTTGCATCCTTCTGCAGAGCCCTGGGTTCCAACCCCATGCGCTGCTGCCCAAGGGACAAGGGGCTGGCGTTGTCCCCGTGCGCTCACCGTCCCTTCTGTCCCCTCCTCAGGTGTACTTCAAGCGCGATGGGGAGCCCATCGAGGCCACCCCGCTGCCAGAGCCGCCGGCCGCAGCGGGGAGCTGGGCACCACGCAACCTCCTGCATCGTGACCTGGATGACACCAAGGTGCCCAAATCTCTGGCAGCGGCCGATGGGGATGCAGGGGGTGGGCGGCCCCCCAACACCGCCGAGCCCCCCCGGGGGCTGGCGGCCGAGCGGGGTCCCGCCACTGAAGCCATCCCCGAAACCGTGGTGAGCCGGGAGTTCCCGCGCTGGGTGCACGTGGCAGAGCCCATCTATTATTTCCGCCACACTCACGCGCCCGTGAGCGACGGCACGGTGGAGGCGCGGGCCACCCTCACCTGGACCCTCAACCCCCAAATCGACAACGAGGCGCTCTTCAGCTGCGAGGTGAAGCACCCAGCGCTCTCCATGCCCATGCAGTCTGAGGTGACGCTCGGTAAGGGCAGTGGCTGTGTTTGGAGGGGTCTCTTGGCTTTTTTTGGGGGGGCAAGCAGGGAGATTTATTGCAATTCTGCTTTTTTTTCTCTTTTTATTTTATTTTTTTCATTTACAGCCTTTTTTTTTGCACTGGGCATTTTTGCTTTTTGCATTTATTGCTTTCCTCCACTTAGTCAGTTTTGCATTTCTTGCATTTTATTTTTTTTTTATTTATGACTTTTTGCTTTTTTTACATTTCTTGCTTGCTAACTGGGAGCCCTCCCACCACCTCCTCACCTTCATTAAGGACCCCAGACTGCATGTAACCATTCAGAAATAGATTAAAACTCCTGCACTGGGCATCATCCTGCCCTGCACACAAGTCCAGGACTGGCTTCAGCCCCTGCAGCTCCAATACCTGAATGGCAAAGCTCACCCCACACTGGTCAGGATCAGTTCCTCACCCCTTAAGATGCCTCCAGCCTGTGTGTCCCATCACCTCGATCAACGCAGAGGTTTTGGGACTGATACAGCAGGTCTCCCATTAACCCCTTCATCATACATAAATAGTATGGTAAATATATATATGTGTCTATATCCCGAAATGAGCTGGCCACCCAAAAAAAAGGCAATACGGAGGTGATGCTGTGCAATACAGAGGGTGGGGACTGGCGGACTGGTCTCTGCCCAACACCAAAGTCATCAAGGTGAGCCCTGGCTTTAGGCACAGGTACAGCCATGAGCCCCTTCCCCAGCCCCAAGGCTGGCATGGGGAGAGGAGGGGGTTCCCCTCTTTGTAGGGCTGTGCTTGGCATTTCATGCCTTTGGAGCTTTGTGCCTGTATCCCCAAAACTGCCTCATCCTGGGGACACTTCCCTGAGGTGCCCACCTCCATGCCCCTTGCATTAAACCAGCCCACCCCTGTTTTGTCTGGGAACTACGTCCTTGGCCATCAATGCAGCCATCTAGCAAGCCTGCTGGCCCGGTCATTTGGCCAGCCTGCAGTCTGTCCATCCAGCATCCAGCCTTCAGCCTCCTCACACCCCCTGCCATTCAGCAAACCCTCGTTAACCCCAGCCGAGGGCTGACGCCCCTTTTCTCCCTGTCCCTTTTTTGTTGCAGTCGCTCCCAAGGGCCCGAAGATCACCATGACCCCAACGAGAGCCCGCGTTGGAGACACCGTTCGCATCTTGGTGCAGGGCTTCCAGGTCAGTGTCCCCACGTCCCCCATCCCCATGGGGTCACGGGGTCCCTGCATCCACACCAGAGCTTCGAGGGTGTGCAGTGGTCACCAAGCTGGGACAAGGGTGGCCTTGGCTCAAGGGTCACGGTCCCCACCCTGGTGTCCCCTGCGTGCAGAACGAAGTCTTCCCTGAGCCCCTCTTCACGTGGACCCGTGTGGGGAGCCGACTCCTGGACGGCAGCGCCGAACACGCTGGGAAGGAGCTGGTGCTGGAGCGGGTACCGGCCGAGCTCAACGGCTCCATGTACCGCTGCACCGCGCAGAACCCCCTGGGCTCCACCGACACCCACACCCGCCTCATCGTCTTCGGTATGGCACCACTGCATCACCGCCTCCCTGCATGCCCACACCCTCCCAGTCCCTCCTAACCCACCTCTCTGCTGCTTCTCTCCATTAGAAAACCCAAATATCCCCCGCGGAACAGAGGACTCCAACGGTGAGTGGTGGCCAGAGGAGGGGGAACCCAAAACCAAGAGGTGCTGGCCCCGTCCCACTTTGAAGCCGAATATCAATTTGTGGCTCTGTAAACTCTCCTTCCCTTTTCTCCCCATGCCTAGGTTCAGTTACCGGCCACCGCAGCTTCAGACTAGTTTTGGCGCTCACCCTAACAGTGATCCTGGAGCTAACGTGAAGCTTCACTCGCCTCTTCCTCCTCCTCTTCCTCTGTACGGCTCCACCCGGCATTTACACCTCTGTCAATCGGTTATCTCTCTCTCTCTCCTATGTTATTTACAGTCTCGGTCTCTTTCTGTCTGTGTCTTGGCTTTCTCAGACAATTTAATTAAAAGGAAAAAAAAAGAAAATCTGCCCTGGTAGAAGGCTGCACTGAATGTTTTGCCTCCTGTAGGGTAGAGGCTGGGAACTTGGTGAGTGTCCAGGGACTGCCTGGGGTACCCAGAACCTTACCTTGGGGCACCCAGGACCTCACCTTGGGGTGCCCAGGACCACCTTGGGGCTCCCAGGACCTTTCCTTGGGGCTCCCAGGACCTTGCGTTGGGGTACCCAGGACCACCTTGGGGTACCCAGGGACTGTGCAAGGTCTGATCGGTGGGGGGAACACACAAAGCTTTCTGGTGCAACAAATGCAAGGGCCCAATTTCCCTTGGAAAAGCAGCAGGGAACATCTCTCTCCTGCATTTATACCATCCCCAGTGCACAGCCTGGCTGGCAGAAAGGAGGGTCCTGAGCCTACTGCATTACTGACACACTGAGCTGCTCCAGGTCTCAGCTTCAGGGTGAGTCCCAAAAAGCCAGCCCCGTGCTCCGCACCACCCTCCCAACACCAAACCAGCACCACGCAGGCGTTCGCTGCCCTGCGTTTTCCTCTGGGAACCATTAATCCTAGAGGATTAGCCAGCAGCCATGCGGTGCTTCAGCTTTCCAAAGCCCTGTACTAGTGCTAAGCATTATTACTATTATTACTATTATGATTAATTATTATTAAGCAGATTCACTTCCTACCACTCACTGTTGCCAGCGATTTCCAAACCTCCAAGGAGCTGAATAAACACACAGCGGCTCAGGAGTTTCTTCCGATGCGCAAAATCACCCGGCATTGTAATTTGGGCTGGAAGCAACACAGGGACAGGCTCGCTCCAGAGCCCCCGGCTGGCTGGGATTTAGAAGGATTAGTGACTCCACTTCCATCCTGAAGCAAGGGGATCCGAGCATCCGAATCCTTTCGGGTGAGGAGGGGTGCTGGCTGCCTTGATCCCCAGCTCTCCAAAACGGCTGTCCCACTGTGACACAGGACACAGCCCCAAAGGCTTCTGCTGCTCCAAACATGTCCTCTTCCTAGGTGAGATGGGAGCCTTTATATTTTTGGGAAATCTACATTATTATTTGCTTTCAGTCCCGCACTGTGGACCAGGCAGCAGAGCCCCAGCGGAGCGGATGTTCCTCACCAGGCCGGAGATGCACCAACCCCATTTGTGCTCCAGGGCCCGCATCCAAAAGTGATTAAACACCCATTATGCCTGCTCTCCATGAAAACGGGGATTTACAGACACCCAAACCTCTGTTTAAATGCAAATGTGGCATTTTAGCTTGGAACCATGGACACGATGAGCATTAGGGAGGCATCACGCCCTCCACAGCACCATCTCGGGAGTAATGTGACCTCTGGGAAAGGATGAACTGGGGGGCTCGGCATCCCGCATCCCAAATCCACCCCTCCATCTGGGACTCTGCTCTTCCCCTGGTGATGCTGGCACAACTGTGGCAGAATGTCTAGCACCATGCAGAAAAGGATGGAGGTTTGGACCCTCTCATCACCAGGACAGCCCAAGCGATGACCGGGGATACACATGAGCCTCTCATTTGGGGCAGAGGTGCCGCCTCCTTTCCCGATACCCCACCGAGCACAGGAGCAGCTCTCTCTTGGTCCAGACTCAACAGCATATGAGCAAAGGCTGATGGACACGGAGTGGTGTCACCCCACCAGAGAACCCCCCCGTGCCACTGTGGACACACAGCCTGGACCCTGCTGTCACCTCCTGCCCCCACGATCCTTCACCTGCTGCCTTCCTGTGGGGAATTACGGAGACAATCAGTTAAATCCCTGTCCTGTCCCACCCCCTTTGTCCCCCCACCACACCCCCAGTTCTGTGAGGACCTGGCAGTGAATAATGCAGGAGGCTGCAGGGATATGGAGCTGCTCTGCTTGGTTCATTATTGATGAGAGATGACAGATCCTCCGCTGACAATCTGCCTAAGAGATATGATTAGCCTGTAAAAAATTAATCGCACTTCTTAGGGATGACGCGAGCTGAAAACCCCAAGGAACGGCGTTATCGATGTTCCCTAATTTCAGGGGACTTTGAAAAGGTTTTAGCAAAATTTGGAGGCAGCAATTACATTCAATTAGAATCACAAGTGCCAAGACATCACCGCCGCTCGCAGTGACCGTGTCCCCTGCTCCAGTGCAATCCCTGCACAGTGCTCGGCCTTTCCAAGCCCCATAAAAACCCTCTGGCGATCAGAAAAAAAATCCACAGCCTTCCCAACACCCCTCCATGCCCAAGGCTGGGCTTTTGGCAGTGCAGCCCTACATCTCAAGGGTGTGCATCCAACTCTGGGAAGCCCCCAGCCTTTGGGGATATTGGATGGGGACACAAGGGCAGGGATACACAGACTCACCAGGGACTGGAAATACTGGAGGGAGCGGCAGCGGGCTTTGCTTGGTGCTTCCCCTGCCTCCATCCCATCATTACCAGGCCCCGTAACTTGCCTGGGTTCACAGGGCTGCTGACAAACGCATGCATAATTCATACAGCCCCGCACAAGAAGCCCTCTATGCAGAGCTCGGTGCTGATTAAAAACCACGGCAGCAAAAGATGAAAAGCCCCCAGGGACACGGAGCATACAGGTGGCCAGACCCTGCACAGTGCATGCTGCCAATTAGCCGAGCCCCCAGATGTCTGCCCAGCCTCACGCCACACGCCACCCTGACCCCAGCAGCTTTAGATTTTGGGTCCCTGAAGCAATTTGGCACAAGATGGAGTGGGGCCGTTGGGTGTTTTTTGGCAGGTCTTGCTTTGGCCCTGGGCTAGAGCTTGAGGTGCAGGTGGGATGCATCAATGCTAGCACCCGCTCTGCACCAAGGTGTGGCTCTTTATCCAAATATCCTTGTTCCCCTGACCTTGTCTTTGCTGCCTTTCCCAGCACAAGGTGATACCTTCCCAAATGCACCCCCACCCCAAAAGGGGGTGCCAATGTCTGGGATGCACACAGGAGCCCCCACCTGCCAAGCCAGCACCCAGCACCCCTTCCTGGGATCTGGTCCAGCAGCACCTCTCTGGTTTGCTTCCACCCTCTTCCTATAAATATTGTGCTGTTTGTCATGGGGTCCTCCACTGGCTGCACACAAAGACACAACAGCCCCCAAATCAAACCCCACACAAAGGCGAGCAGTGCTGCAAACCGCTGCCAGCTTATGAGCAACGAAACCCAGGTGCCAGCAAGCATGAGATCCCAGCAGAGCCTGCTTCCCTCTTTCTCACGTAAGAGACTGACACTATTATACCCTGTGCCCACACCTCACATGGGAAGTTGTTTTAGCATCACCAGGGCTTGTTTCTCCAGCAAATCCCATCGGGTCAGGACCAAGCCAGCAGGGAGTGAAGCCCTGCGTACAAGCAGAAGAACAGCAGCAGCCACATTTTGGCTGTTTGGTGGGTTTTGTTTGGTTGGCTGTTGTTTTTTTTGTTTGTTTGTTTTGTTTTGTGTTTTTTTTTGGGGGGGAGGTTGTTTTTTGTTTGTTTGTTTTGCATTCAGAAGAGCTCGTGGTCTCCTCTCCCTCTCATTCCCCAGCTCAGCCTCTGGGCTGCGCAGCCCTCGCAGGGCCTTGTTCCTTTGCACATCTCTCAGCATGCAGAACCGCTCCCCTGGGGGAAAGGAAATTAATTTTTTCCCTTTGAATTCAGCCTGCTCGGCAGAGGCTGCTGTAGGATGCCATTCCCAGGACGGCCCCCAGCCCCCTCCTTTTCTCCCCTTCCCTCCACCCCCGCCATGGTACAGGCGTGGGCACCTGGGGACGTCAAGCAAGCGTAATTCCCCCAAATCTTCAGAATTCAGATGGAAACTGGTCACATTCCTGATTTCTTGTCAGGGGGAGAAGGAAGCAGACCTGACATTGGCTGGCATCCTCCGTACCTCAGTTTCCACCACCACCACTGCCATCCCCACGTGCATCGCGAGGAGCCCCAACACGGTGATGTTCATCATCACTTCCAAGTGATGGCTCCCACCTCTCCAATTCCTTCCCCTCCCGATTTTTTTTTCCCTCGTTCCAATGATTTTGTTTGTTTTCCGGGGTTCATCCTCCTTCCCCACCCCCACTCCCCAGCCTGCAGTTTCACTCCTGCCTCCACTGCAGCTTCATTTGCAGGAGTTTCCCCTTCCCCAAGCCCACAGCTCCTCTCCCGATGGCTCCGCGTTCACCCGCTGCTTCCAGGCTCACCACCAACAGAGCTCGGTGCCTTTAGGGACACTTCCCATCACCCTTCGTTAGCGAGCATGCTGCACGCAAAGCCTGCCAAATTAGTCACTCAGTGGCGCAGAGCAGCTGCTCGGTGTCAGACCAAAGGTCTGCCTGGCACCAGGCTGCCTTCTCCCTCCCTTCCCTGTGCTCAGGTTCCTCCTGGTTTCACCCATCCAGGGGGGTAAGCAGGGAAGAACCTGGACCAAGCAAAGGGTTTTCCCCTTCCAATTCCTGGCAAGTATCAAATAGCAAAAACCAACAGAGCAGGGTGGTGTCCCCGGGCTGCTCAGAGGAGTTACCTTCCCTCTCGTCGCCTTTGTGCTTCCGCAAGCTTCTCTCTGAGCCTCTCTGTTTGCCAGGCTAATAAAGCCAGCTCTGTGTCACCAGCTCCCTGCTGGCTGCGCTCGAGCCCAGCCCAGCCCACCTTACTCAAACATATAAAGCTTACATGCCAGCTCCTGCCAGCCAGCCCGCTCAAAGTCACCTTGCCCCAAACTCCCGGCTGAGCCTGTTCCTGCTCTGCTGGGGGCTCGGCAATCATTAATCGGATTCTCTGCATTCCCCAGCGCCTGCCCTGGTATGGAAAAATGAGCCAGCGGGTAACCGTGCCCTGGCAGTCCGACATGCAGCTGGTCGGCAAGCTGGTCCTCTCCGCCGCCGCACTGCTCCTGCTGACTTTGGCGTACAGGTTTTACAAATCCCGCTCGGCCCCCAGCGGCCCCGGAGGCAGCACCTTGGCAGCCGACGCTTGCGGAGAGACGGAGAGAAGGGAAAACACTGCCCAAGATGGGGAGGTGGTGGCAAGTCTGCGGCGCAGGCAGGTTTTCGGTGGTGGGGCTTGGCAAGGTGGTGGCAATGCCCGAGTGAGTGCCTTGGAGCCGCGGCAAGTGCTGGCCCGAAGAGATCGATGTCTGCCAGTGGGCAAGGAGGAGGAAAAAGGGGAGCCGGGAGGCAGTGGGGACCTGGCCGAAATGCTGAGTGGGGAGGAGGGCAGCGGGCATGGACACGGCGTGATCAGCCCATGCACCGGGCTTTCCACCCAGATGGGGGATGGTGGAGGTGCCCAAAGCACCGAGCAGGATTTGGCCATCGGGGGCATGAGCCAGGAAGGGGGCAGGGGGGTGATCCAGACCCACAGTGTCACCTCAGACCTGGGGCTAATGATAACAGCGAGCAACAAGAGGTCGGACACCTCCTACTCTTTCTCCTCACTTGCGAAGATCCAGGTGGAAGAGAACTACATCACCAAGAGGAATGCGAAGGATGGGGCCAGACAGCTGGCCCCTGGCCTCAAAGGGAAAGTGTATGACTACTACATCCAGTCCATCTCCCAAACGGTGTCAAAGAAAAGGTCTCTTCCCTATGCCCCTCTGGGAGAAGCCCTGAGCTGCAACTCAGAGTATGTCAATGAAGAGCTGCAGAACTTGGAGCAGGCCAACAAGGAGCAGCAAAGCTTGGGGAAGGTCAACGAGGAGCTGCAGAGCTTGGAGAAGGTCACTGAGGAGCTGCAGAGCTTGGAGCACATCAGTGAGGAGCTGCAGAGCCCTGTCATCCCAGAACCTGAGACCAAGAGCCAGCAACCAACCGTGGCAATGCAGGACCCCATCACTTCTCCCGTAGTCCCATCACCTGTGGGGAGCTTGGAGATTGCCACCAAGCCCCCAGCTCCCACTCGCAGCTTCAGCCGCAAGAACAGCGTCACCCAGATTGCTGAGAACCCCCAGCTCCAGCTTCCCATGGAGGGCTTTGGTGCACCACTGCCAGCCAACACACCACCAGCAAGCCCCCGGCTGGAGCTGGTGGCTGGAGCCAACTTCTTCCAAATGTCACCCCCTGCCCCGGACACCCTCCTGGATCTGGGGAACTGCTACGAGGTCCTCTGCATGGCTAAGGCGGCGAAGCTCAGCCACCTCCAGGAGGCCGCCTACAAGGTCATGAGCGACAACTACCTGCAGGTGCTGAGGACGCCCTCCATCTACGGCCGCCTCAACGCCAGGGAGCGGGAGCTCATCCTCCAGCGGAGGATGAAGGGGAAGATGTGTGTCACCGTGGCAGACATCAGCACGCAGGACCCTGACCTCCACGCCAGCCGGCTCTGCTACTACGATGACGGAGGGGACCGCTGGTACCACCTCTGCCACATGCCACCGGAGGCGGTCTCCCAGGGGTGTGCCATGTGTAGCATGTTCAACTACCTCTTCGTGGTGGCTGGCTGTGAGGGCTCGGGCCGTGCACAGAGACCTTCCAAACGTGTCTTCTGCTACGACCCCTTGACCAACATCTGGAGGGAGATCCGCTCCTTGAACCAAGCGCGGCCGCACTGCAAGCTGGTGGCCCTGGACGGCTGTCTCTATGCCATCGGTGGGGAGTGCCTCTACACAGTGGAGCGATACGACCCCCGCCAGGACCGCTGGACCTTCACCGCCCCCCTGCCCCATGACACCTTCGCCGTGGCCCACACGGCCACGGTGTGCGACGGGGAGATCTACGTGACGGGGGGCACCTTGCGCTACGTGCTGCTGCGCTATGCTGCCCTCAGGGACAGCTGGATCGTCAGCCCGGCTGGTGGCAGCAAGGACAGGACAGCCGAGATGGTGAGCACCAAGGGCTTCATCTACCGCTTCGACCTCAACCGCAGCATGGGCATCGGCGTCTACCGCTGCGGTGCCAAGGCCAAGCTGTGGTACGAGTGTGCCACCTACCCCATGCCCTACCCGTCCTGCTTCCAGTGCGCTGTGGTCGGCGGCTTGGTCCACTGCATCGGCCGGCGTTTCCATCTCCGGTTCTTGGCCGACCACATCTCACCACGCTTCGGGACCAAGGAGCTGCAGCCCTTCCCCTCGCCCCGTGGCAGCCTCCTCCCTGCTGTCCTGGTGCTGCCACAGGGAGGGATGGAGCAGGTGCAGGTTTGAAGCATCCATGCTGAGGTCTCGTGCAGCTTGGACCCTATGGGATGGTGAAAGCCAGGTAGCAGAAGCCACCAGCAAGCATTTACCTCCCAAGTGCTGTTGATGCTGTTGGACCAACGCTATCAGGGCAACGTCACCCTCAGCCACCATGACAGCATCCTGCCAATCCCTGTAAGTGGGAAGGGAGAAGACAGATTGCACTTAGACACGAGCAAACCCAGCCTTGAGGACACAAGGAAGAGCAAAGCCGGAGCTGGGTGGACTCGTTTGTTTGCAGGTATTTAAACACAGGTGTGCTTCCTCTAATACAAACAAACCCGGGCTCACTGCAGGCTGTGTACTGCCCCGTAAGTAGCTGCTTTGCAGGCACCAGGTGTTTAACATTGACCCGGACACCGAATGCACAGTGGGGGTTTAGGGTGTAGAAATACAACAGAGAGGTTTGGTCCCCATCAGCATCAAGTTGTCATTGATCCTCACCCCAGGGCAGGAGGCTGGGGACCAAAGCATCCCCAGAAGGTATTTCCTACCCTTGCCTTGTTACCCATTACCTTATCCTCAGCCTGGAATAATATATAGATAGATATTTACATGCACACCATTTAAATAGACACTGTAGATTTATAGACAGCTGGTCTTAAATAAAATTAAAGCAAACATTTGGTAAAATTAACCACAGGCTACTGTTGTGCATTGTTTAGAACCTAATGGGAACAAAGAGGCCGGTGCATGTTTTACATTGCTAATTACTACACAAGCAACATCTCCAAGGAGGAACCCAAAAGCAAACCAGAGCCCTCGCTGCGAGCAGCCAGTTCAGCATCTGGGCCTCTCATCCCCTTTTCCTGGGGTTTTATCGACCTCACTCCAATTACACCCCAGTGTCCTGCCAAAAGCCCACTTTGGGTAATTGCATTTTATTCCCATAGCTGCTTGAGCCGTTAGAGAAATGGCTCATCATCCGTCACGTTCATCGCTCCGCACCACTGCTGCGTGCTCTCAGGCCCAGACGGACAAAAGCTGCTTCCAGACAGACAAACCGCTCCCATCCCCACATCCTTGATCAAGCACAAACTCCGTAATGCGTGTGAAGCACTTAAAGATGAGGGATGGTGCTGGGCTGGCCCGCGGGGGCTGCTTTTTATGCCCTGCTGCTGATTGCAGCTTAGGTTAATGTTCTTTCAGAGTGCATTTTCTGGGTGCGAACGAGGAAGCATTCTTAATTTGTTTGTTTTTTTTCTCCCAAGGATTGTTGCTGCCTCATTGCATTCCCTCCCTTTGCCATCGTGGTAATTAGGGCACAGGACTCGCCACGGTCATTCATGGGTTTTAAGGCCACGTATTCCGGAATAGTTTCAGACCTGGTACCAAAAGCCATTAATCCACAGCTCAAAGTCAACAACCCCACAGAACGCATTTCGTCTTTCCACACAGGCAAATGGCCTCAAAGGGCTTCCCACAATGGTCGGTGGCATCGATGGGGACCTTCTCACCCATGTTAGGAGACCTTGGGAGGAAGCACAGCCATGCTAATTAACCCTACCTCTGCACTTTTTTCGTTAGCCCACACCATATAGCACAATTTTCTGGTGGTGGAGGGCAATGATGCACCTCTCCCCTAAAATCTGTCATGGTCCTGGGGCCTATGGCACTTCTTCACCTCTGTTACCCTTGGGATCACTTCGTATGCCCCATCAATGATGTGCTGGAGCTGCAGTATCCAGCATCCCAGCACCTCTCTGCAGGAAGACTTGGGCTGGTAAGTTTGGGGAATGAAAAAACTCTTAATTATTATTACTTAGCTCCTTGATATTTGGTTACCTCCATAACCCACACTCAGAGCTGCAAGCCCAACACATGCACACGCATGCTGTAATGCATTTCTCCTTCTTTCCCAGCAAAACCCAGGTACTGGCCATGTCACCAGAGCATCCTCTTTGCATCCCCATTTTCTGCACCACCATCCCCACTGCATCCCCTTGGGCATCCCAGCAGCAGCAGGCTTGGTACTGGGAAGGTTCAGTGGAATGGAGGCAGCAGGAGCTCTTCCAGCTGATGGCTTTTATTTCAGCTCCAAAAAGCTTTGCTGGGACCCTGCCCTTCTCACACGTCTCACCCATGATTTAACTCCTTATTTCCAGGCTGCACAGCCCTGCACAGGTGAGCGTGCACACAGTGAATAAACACAGAACAGCTTTTTCTCATTCCCCAGCACGCCTGTGAGAGATTAATAACTCTGACCGTGGGGGCCAGGCTCTCCCCCCACTCCTGCACTCTCCAATATTAACACAATTCGCCTGGGGAGGCATTTTGGAGATTGAAGGCACCGAGGACGTCCCGTACTGGAGCAGTGCTTGTTCTGCAGGGAAGGGCAAAGCTGGTTTCGGGCACAAAGCACGCAGCGATCCTGTGCTTGAGGGCAAAATGAATTTTGGCTGAGGTTAGGGGAAAGCAGCACTGAAGAAAGGGAGAAAGGACAAATGCAAGGCGATAGTCAAACCCAGATGACTTTTTCTTTCATTGCAGCTTGCAACATCAAGATGTTATTTATTTTTGCTAATCAGATTGGCAAAGCACCTTTTTCTTTTTTTTTTTGGTTCACCCTTTCACAGGCACCAGCACCCATTGCTGTCCTCGTGTCCCCCAGACCAGCTCCCTTTACCTCCCAAAAGAAGAGCTGTTCCCTCCTAAGGCGGTGCAACTGTTAAAATGCACTGCTTTGCAACCAAATACAGCCCTTGCAATAAATTTGGTATTTTCTTCTAATCAGGAAGTTCCATTATCCACCCGTCGCATTTATTTAGGCAATTACATAGTTTAATGTACGTTGATTCAGATTCTTAATTTTTACATTTTTGATTATGGTAGAAAACAGTGAATGACGCATTTCTTATTTACCAGGAGCTCTTTTTCCCTTTGCAATGTGTCGGGCTGCATTCAAATGGAAATTGGAAGTCAATTAAAGAAGTGCAAAACTAGCATTTTAAAATCTTTTTTATTAGTTAAACACAGCTACCTTCAACGTGTCAGCTACATCAGAGGGGAAAAAAAGCAAAAAGTGAAGAAGTGAGCTTATCCAGACATGTTTTGCATTTAAAACCAGTGTAATACATGAAGGAAATATTAAGCATAGCAAGCTGCCAAATTAAGCATCTTGTTCACGACAAGCAGGAGCAAGCATGTGTCGGTACCTGAGGTTGTTCAGAGGAGCCAAGTGGGATTTGAGGGCAGAGGAAGGGAAAGAGGCATCCTGGTGCCTGTGGCGAGGTGGCACCTCTCAGCCCCCACCCATGGTTTCTTCTGCATTCTGGGGTGTTTCCTACATCATTTTGGGAGATCTGTGCTGCCATGGGGAGAGCCTCCTTGAGCCATACAGAGCTGGGAGGGTCCTGTCCTCTCCCAGCCGTGTTGGCCATGTTGAACCTCATCCCATGGCCTCTGCCCATCGACTCGTCCTGCCCAGGTCCCTCTGCAGGGCCTTCCTACCCTCTGGCACATCGACACATCCCCCCCAACTTGGTGTCATCTGCAGACTTACTGGGGGTGCACTCAATTCCCTCATCCAAGTCATCCATAGAGATATTTAAGAGCATGAACCCTAATATCGATCCCTGGGGAACTCCACTGGTGACCAGCTGGATTTCACTCCGTTCACCACCACTCTCTGGGCCCAGCAGTGTGCCTGTCCCAGCCATGGGCTGCCAGCTTCTCCAGGAGAATGCTGTGGGAAACTGCACTCAACAGCCTTCCCCTCATCCACCAGGGGGCTGAATACCCCAAGGATAAGTGGTCTGGCTAGTAAAGATAGATGCAAAGAAGGCGTTAAGAACCTCAGCCTTTTCCTTATCCTCAGTAGTCATGTTCCCCCCTGCATCCAGTAAAGGATGGGGATTCTCCTTGGCCCTCCTCTTGCCATTAATATATTTATTAAAACATCTTTTGTTATCCTTGACCATAATAGTGACCAGGTTGAGCTTGTACTAGGCTTTGGCCTTCCTGATTTTTTCTCTGCATATGCTGGAAACACTGAGAACGCTACCATTTCATGGTTGCTCTGCCCAAGACAACTCCCTACCACCACATCTCCCACCAGTCCTTTTCTGTTCACGACCTGGACCCATCCTGCTGCATGGCACCCAAGGGACACTCAGTGGTCACTCTGTGAGCCTTGCATGCCCCACAAGGCTCACAGGCTGCATCCAGCTCCCGCAGAAAGGCAGAAAAACCAGGGGAGAGTTCAAGGATTTGGGAGCTGCTCAGTGGGAGCAGCCACCCTCTCGCCATGGACCTCACCCCGAATTTACCCACCAAAGTTGCAAGATGGGAACAGAGCCTCGCGAGCAGAAGCGGAGCTCCCAGCACACTGGGAATGCCAGCCAGCTCCTCGCGAGTGCCGAGAGGTTGGCGGTAATGAAAGATGCTATCAGGGGAGCAGGCGGCCAGCCAGACAAACATAATTAGCGGCATTTGCGGACGACGAACCTCAGCGAGGACGTGGAGGGGACGGAGCTGGGCGAATGGAGCACATCCCCTTGCCATCATTTGGGAAAAAACACGGTCATTTGGAGGCTGGCCAAGCTGGAATAACAGCCTGGTGAACGAATATTTAATTAAAATCTGCACGGCGTTTGAAGGGAGAAGGGCTCGAAGTGAATAAGCGCGGCGATAAAATATGCATAGGCTCCAGCAGAAGTTCTCCCTCCCCAGCACAAGCCTTTGCTTAAAGCATTGATGGCTTTTTATTCACAAGCTGCAGCGAGGAGGGAATGTTTGCCAGCCACTATTTCAATCCTGCAGGGAGTTTTTTCCAGGGGTTATAGCCATGCTATAGTTTAGGATGTGTCAGTGCTGGCATCATAAACACAGATTAGAAATGCTATAAAAGGAAAAATAAAATAAAATAAAATAAAACTTACACTCCTGGCTGGAGTTTACCATCGTGAAAGCTCAGGCCAAAGGCAAATTTTTTCTCCATTACTGAAACAAAATCAATAAGGCTGGTTTTTACTTACAGAAAACCCAAAGGGGAGGGGGGAGAAGGGAAAACCAAAGCTGCAGAAGGGCGAATGGGATGGTTATATAAGGCAAGAGAGGCAGGCAGGGGTAAGGGCTGTTGAAAGTAGCCCCAAGTCCCCTATGGAGGCCAACCATGGGGTCAAACCCCATACTCAGAGACAGTCTGGAGGGATACTCTCTCTCACAAGCCTGGTATCTATTTTGGTTCACCACTCTCCTACAATGTCCTGGGCACAGGTGCTTTTGGGACAAAAACCTCCACGCCGGGTCACTGCCCCAAATGTCTCAGTTCCCATCAAAACAAGTAACGTTTTCATTACTCACTGTTTTTTCTGATAGGAGGATTTTTGGTGACATCAAGTTGCTTTGAAACAGCGTCATTTGCTCAGCTGGCACCTTCCAAGTGCCACGATCAGCTTTTCCTTTTATTGCCCAGAAAATGCCTTTTTTTTCCCTGAAAGCAGGGTTTGTGCCAGTGCCAGACTGGTGTGCAGAACTCAGAACTGATGAGGTTCAGATTTAGCGAGGCCCATCCTAGCTTGGGGGGCAAGCAGCAGAGAATTGTCCATCGAGTGTCTCCCTGGCTTGATGCACCCATGTAGACCAAAAGCTGCCCACCACGACAGCATCCCTTGCCCCTGAGAGCTTCACTGCACC